TTTAGAAGATCATGGTCGGTTGAAAGTTTTTTTCGCAGTTCTTTGGGGATTCGGTTTTGTTGAATCGTGCCCGTAGCATATATTCCATTTTCCAGCAAAAACTCTAGTAGTTTTATCGAAGTAAAATATCGGTCAATAAATATTTCGCTGCCTTTACTAATATTTTCTGCAAGTCTTTGCACTACTGTTCCTCCGATACCTAAATCGTGGTTGCAAAATTTTTCAAACCAACAGGACAGGGTTTCCCCTGAACATATTGTTTCAATTGGGTGGTACCAGAGAATGGAATCATTTGTTCATCGATGCTCAGTTTTGCTGGCTTTGGTAGCAATTGACATTTTTTCAAAACGGCTTTTATTATTGGTTCAACTTTCCACAATTTGTTGTTTTCTTTTTCTTGTGGTGTAGCTCTTAAGTTGTCGACAAAATGCATATAATTTCTTAATTTAAAAAATCGATCCCTTGGTATCTGTGTAATGGCTGGAACATTAATAGCAGGTCGGTAGTACATCCTTACGCGCGGAAGTTTCATGCAACCAGCAAGTATGTGGGCCCCAGATAGTTTCTTGTACTCATTATAGTTTGAATACAAATTTTGGCCGTTTTCTAGAGCGTACGTATTACTTTGTTGTGAAATTTCGCGCCAAAAATCGTCGTCAAAATACTCCGAGAAATATTGGAAAGGTGTCCACTCAAATCTATCTTCTGCGTTCCATGCCTCGTCGGCAGCGGGAGTATTACCCACGACAAATTCTTTGGCTAGCCATTTAAGCGGTTTTTTATTTTGAAGATTTGAGGGGCTTTCATTTGCATCAACCAACTCTTGTTCAGCAATATTTTCTTCTTCATTATCAGATTCTGCATTGTAGTCAGAATCGGAATCACTTGAAGAAGCCACATTCGAACAATTAGGAACGAGTTCCAAGTCTTCATCGTCGGACAAACCTTCAAAATCACTGTCCATGAGCATCTCCATCACCTCTTCTTCCGTAAAACGTTTTTTCGACATGATAGCTACCAAATGTCCAGCCCACTGAACATTTAAGAAACAGTATTCATATCCGAATTTTAATAAACTTATTTAAAAGATTTTTTATTTACCTTAAAGAACAAGTATTTTTCGATTGAATTTAATAAAATATTAAGCTTGATTTGAAGAAATATAGCGAAAATATTAATTTGAAATTACATTCACAAGGACCACACGTTTTTTCAAATAACTGTTCACTTCTTGGATCGTATTACGACAGTATTGCCACAAACGCAAAAAAAAACAATTCAATTGTAAACTTAAGATGTCCAGCTGGCTATAAAGTTGGATCGAATTGAAATAAATTTAAAATTTTTTATTATATGTCCATTTAAAAAGTGTCCAGCGGGCTACACGCGAGGACCGAGGAGGATATTACATTTATATGAAAAAAAAAATGTATTTTTCAAGTTATGGGAGACGTGCGCTAATCGAAATTGCATATCTAACTGTAGAGTAAATTTTTGGCGAATTATTTAAAAAAATATGTCTAACGCACGATAGATTTAACCAGAGCTCGTAAATAACCATTAACCGAAAAACCTGCGACATAAAGGTTTCTCTCAGAGAGATATACAACTGCGCGCATTGTTTTGGTTGGCAAATGAGATTTATCTTTAATTTCAAGAAATAAATCTCCTTCGCATTTTTTCCATATATAAAATTGTCGAACATACTTTGTATGGAAAAAATGTTGCATACCAAAATTTTATCCAAAGGTGCTGTTAAAAAAGTTAAAAATATCGGTGAAATTTGGCAGAATTTTCATAATTTTTGCTCAAAGTCTGAAATTTGGATTTATATGGTGTTTGTTAAGTAATCAGCTATAAAAAAAAATAAAAAACAAAATAATAAACATTAAACAAACCAAAAAAAAAAATAGCCAGAACTTGCTAAAATGTTATTATTATTATTATTATTATTATTATTAATTTTGCTGAAAATAAGTTTTCCACTATTTTCCACTCAAACTATATATTATTATTTCTTTAAGTATAAAATGTAGAACATACGCTAGGAGCTTATCTTTATCCGGTTACCTAAGATGCGGGCTATATTTGTATAGGTACCCGATTAGAGGGTAATACTTATCCGCCTACTTACCTAGGTAGAGGGTTCCCGCGTAGAAAGTAATATTTCTACGGGTAACAGGTAATTTTTAACCGGGTGCCTGAGTAGCGGCTTATATTTGTGTGGGTACCCGGATAGGGGTTATCTTTATCCAGGTAGCCGGGTAGAGGGTAATATTTAACCGCGTGCTCAATGGAGTACCCGATTATATTTAATACTGGACGGCTATGAAGAAGAGATGAGGTCTCTCTCCAAAAGTTTTGTACTGACTGAAAAGACGACTCTTGTTAGCAAGCTAGAGCGCGTGCAAAGGGCGGCCCTCGTTGGAATCAGTGGAGCACTGCGGACCACTCCTAATCTAGCGCTAAATGCTAGACATTGCGGTCAAGGTAGCGGCGGTTCGCTCAGCCATTAGGTTCAAAAACGCTGGGTTTTCTTTCAACACAGCGCACGTACACTCAACAATTCTCGAAAACGCTTCAATTTCCTGCCTGAAAAAATGGACCGCAGTCTTCTGAGGCTGGCCCCAAAAGGATCCATGTCCACACATATTTCTCCAAGGGACCAATGGGAGAATCGTAGTCTCTGGAGAAGAGGTCCAATAAACATCTTCACATCTTATTGAGGAGGTGTTTACTGTCACGTACTCTCAGTATACCTTATGTTCAGACTGCCGAATATCTGCAGCGTATTTCAGGCCGAGGGGGCCGCTATAAAAAGGAAACCGATTTGCTAGGCACCAATGTACTGTCGACTAGGAGGGTAAATATCTGCACTGATATCCAGGCGGCAATCAGGACGCTGGGATCGCTAATGGTACGTTCAAAACTGGTCGGTGAATCGCTTACCTCTCTCCCAACCGCCTCGGAATACTTACAAATCAAGTTGATTTGGGTCCCAGGGCGCAGTGATGTCACTGAAAATTGCAGGACTGATGAATTGGCTAGGCAGGACATACTCGAGGTCATGCCCTCGGACAGGGAGGACATAGGAGTTCCGTTGGCAACCTGCAGCCTGCTCCTGGACAGACGGGCTCACAGTCGGCTCAGCGGGCGCTGGGCGAAGACCCTGACATGCAAAGTTGCAGGGTCCTTCTGGCCGGTCAAGGGAGCTTCTAGAGCTGGCTAAGCGCCAGCTTTCGATTCTTACAGGTGTACCCAACGGACATTGTTCTTTAGGAACCCATGCGGTGCTACTCAATATCGTCATGGATCCCTACTGCCGCATCTGTCTGGAAGGCGAGGTGGAATCCTCTCAGCACTTCCTCCTCAGCTGCCCGGCATTCGCTAGATTAAGGTTTAAGCACCTCGGTGCGCATTTCATCAACACTCCCGAAGGGGGTATGCGGAGTGAACATCAGCTGCCTGCGGAACTTTGTTGTAAGCACCGTTCCAAGAATTTTTGTAATGTGGTATCACAATGGGCAATTGAATGTCGAAGTGAGTTCCTCTCGTGGGTCTGCTACATAACCTAACCGTATCTAAGAATTGGGCTGAAAAAAAACCATATCTCAGAATTCAGTTCAAAAACGCCCTATCTTAACTGAAAATAAGTATATTGAAAATGAGCTGAGATAGAGCGTTCTTCAACCAAACTCTGAAACAGGGCGTACTTGAAAAATTTTCTGAGATAGGGCGTTTTCGAACTGCCTGCCGAGATAGGTCGACCTTTCACTCAATTGTCGATATATAGATGATAATAATAATATAGTAGTTTGTTAGCGTTTGGCCGAGCTTCTCCTCCCATTTATGGATGTTCTGTTATGGATGTTCTCGCACAAAGGGGACTCCGAACGACGATTGTATTGTGAAGCTGTCTGCCGAGGGGCGATCGCTCTTAGAAAAATCTCTATTATTTTCTTTTGTTTGTGATGTATGTATGTCGGAACCTAGGACTTGTTAAGGACGAAAATTTGTATGAAGCTAAACTTCTCAAAACAAAGAAACAAACTTTTTTTGCGACACAGGTTGGATGTCATCTTGCTTCTCTATAAAAATGAGATAACATGACTTTATGACGATTCAAGCCTAGATTTGTTTCTACAAATACATATGTATGTATAAAATAAGCGTATAATATATTGCTACAATTAACAGAATCATGTATGTATGTATGTATAAAAATGACTCAAGTATGAACATCAATATTAATTTAATAGACGTACATAGATAAACTTATACCGATGTTAAATATAGTGTTAACAGAATTAATTTAAATATATGATTAATTATACAAGAGATAATGCTGAAAGGGAAAATCGTAAAGCCAATTTCTTAAAAAGTGTAATCTACATAGTTATAAATGTTAAAACAATTTTTTTTTTAGATATTGATAAAAGCGCATAAATATATTAATCGATTTCTGAGGTTCTCTTTTAATGTTGTTCATATCGGCTTTTTAATAGGTGTCAATTGTTTGCGACATATGCAACGTCTATTCTGCGTGCTTTGCCTTCCAAACATTTACACACCTGTACATATTTTAAACACCCATACACTCATATTTAACAGAAGAAAGCGTTATCTACCATTTCGATTATGTTCATTATTTTCTACCGACTTCCGTTTCATTGCAAATGCATTCTCAGCTTTCATACTTAATCCAAAAGAATATATATTTTGTATGTATGTATGTTAAAAAAAAATGCATGTGTGTTTGCTCTTCAAAATAAAAAAATATATATATTATTTGCATATTTCTTTATTTATTTCTTTTCAAAATTTTTTTGCACTATTCGCGCCGACACCGCTAATAATCCGCAAAACTAAATCAAATCGGAAAAACAAATCGGATATCAATGGAATGCCAAATAAATAAAACTGTAAAACTGGTCAACTTGCCACTACACAACCACCACCACTACCACCACCACCACAACCACCACTACTGCCACTACCAGGCGAAGATAATATGCTTTCCGATCAGCCTTACCGTTATTTGACAGTTGATGAAATGAAATCTCTAGGCGATGATTCCTTGCCGATCGATGTCACACGCGACGAACGTATCGATTCGAATCGCATGATGACCCATAGCGCTGAGTATGCTGGCGGTGTTGGAGGTCAACCGCAACAGCAGGCCATTGCCGAAGAGCTGATTAGTCCACATAAAGCACAAATTCATGGCGCTGGCAAATCGATTGTGGATGGTATTTATATGGGTAACGGGCTTAATGAGGAACAAAAATATGTGGGGTAAGTTGAAAATAATTCAGATATGTATTTACATTTTTTAGCCTGTATATGTAAGTGCGATTATTTTTTTTATTATTCGTTTACATGCAGCCGAAAACTTTCTTGGAAAAGGTAGTTATATAAGTTATTTAAGTAGTAAAAAAGTATTATGTATATAGTATTCGTACAACTGAACACTTTATCAAAACGTTTGATTAGATCGAGGGCGTTATGAATTTGCAACTGCGTCGAGACAGTTCTGTACGATTTGATTTTTAATATCTCATCACTTTTGCTATACACTGACACATTTGCGTATGGGATAAAGAGTAATAAATACTGAACTGACTTTGTTGATTTTTATTAATTTTTCTTAATAGAACTTTAACTCAATTAACAAAAAATTTTTCAACCATGGAAGGTCTGCTTATTTTGCCAATTTTTTATTACAGCCTATGTGAAAATATCGAGGAAAAAAAGTAAAAAAGTCTAAGTTCGGGCGAAGCCGAACATTAAATACCCGGCGCATGTATTAAATATAGTTTTTTCCAATTTTTCGAAAACTACGGTTACATGGTAAGCAGGGGTGGTTTCGACCCTTTTTCAAACATCTTTGATAGTTTTTTCAGTTAAACTTAATGAGATAAATGGTGTAGCCATAAATTGACCACGGGTGACACGCCCATTTTCAAAATTCCATATAGTCTTATTTATTTCTCAGAGGTTGTTGTGATTATCAACTTTGAGTAAATTTGCGCCCTTTATTTTCGTATAGTGAAGTCTCCGCATTTCTGAAATTTACCGTTATATGAAAAGTAGGCGTAGTTTTAGTCCGTTTTCAAAAATTTTCCACGTCTTGCTTTTATGTGTCCAATACAATAATTAAACCGAGTTTGGTAGGAATTGATGGAACTATAACTGAGACATAACTGGGCGGTGCCACGCCCATTTTCTAATAATTTGTAATATTCTTATTTTCCCCAAGATATACATAATTTTAAATATCAATTTTGAGTGAATAAACTTCAGTAATATCGCAGTTTTCATATTTCTGCAAACTACCGTTATACGGGAGGTAGGCATTGGCCATTGTCCGATTATCCCATTTTCAATACCATCCGTCCTTGGTTCAAAAGAACAACCGTTATGGGAGCAAGTTCGCTCGGGTATAAAAATATGGCGAATATATCCCGTCGCCCGTATGCCAGAAGCATGAATGTGTAAAAATGAAAATTTTGGGAAATCAAGTTAGAAATTTTTCTTTCGAGACTTAACTCTACTTTATGCAATTGAAATAGTAAAATATGTGGGTTCCGTGTACGCATGGTATTCTGGTATTTGGTATAACGTAGAACATCCAAAGGTTAGTGGAGTCAAACCAATAACTCAAAACTGATAAATTTGCACATTTATGCTTCTGGCATAAGGGCGATGATATGTTAGTAAAATTTATTATCTCTAAATTTTAATTACGACGATTTTATATCGCAAAATGCAAAATTTTAGTTGCAAAGAAGCATTGGGTCGTCGATTCGACGAAGCTAAATAGAATTGTGGCATGAAAAAAAAAAAAAAACAAATGGATACAAATTTTAAATCTCTCCCATGCCCTAAGATTTCTGCGGCGAACCCCATTCGATCGGAAGCCCTTGAATCTTATGATCAAAAAGCCAATCTGGAAACCCGAATTACTTGTTTGCCTATCTTAAAAGTAACATTCCCGATCCGACGTGTTACGATTCCCGCTGTATAATTATATCAGTGAAAAAGCTAACTCAATTAAGATAAATTTTTAAAATTTGCAAAAAATTGTTTTTGAATCAAACCAATTCAAATGGCATCGCAAAAAATTTATAAATTAGTAGTATTTCATGTATGTATGCAACGTATGTGCAACTAAAATAATTTTGACTTATTTAATGGGCGACTACCCTAATAAAAATACTTTTAATCTAAATCTTTCTTAAAACTATTTCTTTTGACACCAATAGTGAAATAATTCACGTAACTTGTGTGTAGGTTATTTAAATTTGGCTCGAAAAAGGTCGCAATCATCCTCTTCAAAAATATATTCAAACTAAAAAATGGAAGAGATAACAGTAGGGTGGTTTTTTATGTACAAGAAATTATTGCCATTTTGAATGAATATTCAGTTCACACCGTTTACTGTTTCTGAATTGTGAGACATTTCAATGTTTACCAGCAGAAAATTAATTAAACTGATAAATTAAGCTCATGAAGTAATTTGAATTTGAGTTTTTAAACTTTTAAAAACTTAAAAAAAAAATCCTAATATTCGCCATAGTTATAAGCGATTCGAGCGATTCGTGTGTGTGCCGAATTTCATCTATGTAAATCCGTCCAGTCGTTTCTAACTTCAAAAAATAAAAGCTTATTGCACATCTACAGGCGAATAGGTGGCAACCCTAATAAAAAATAATTTCAAACTAAAGCTTTCTTGAAACTTTCCTTTGGCACTCATATCTTCGGAGTTCATATAACTTGTGTATATTTTAATTAAATTCGACAAGCAGATGGCAGCTCTCTTCAAAATATTTTCAAACCAAACCATTATAATCTTTCGTCTGACATTGTAATACATAATTCCATCAAGATGAATTAGACTTTTTAACAGTGTACGAAAATAAACTATATTGTACGTTACTATTTCGTTTCGTTTATTACTTTAACAGTTCGGTACAATACGAAACAAAACGGCTGAGTTCACTTTGGCGATAGTACACTACAGTAGTTTAGTAGTTACAGACGAAACAACAAGCGAAATGAATCGTGCAGGGAAAATATTTTTATGTATGTACATATATGCAATAAACAAATACAAAACGAATGGCTGCAATGAATAAAAAAAATAAAAATGTTTTTTAATTGAATTGGATATGAAAATTTACAGAAAAAATTATTTTTCACGTAATGCATACATATAAAACGTACCCTATGGTACAATTGTCACAAACGAAAAGCAAACGTTTCTCGTTGGGGAAAATGACAGTGAATCTTACAATTTGTTTCTGACTATTTACAAAACTGTACAAAACCACAAATGATATGATGATCGATGAGCAAATGGGAATTGTTTTGTACAGTTTATTTTCGTACCCTGCTTTTTAAACAGGTGGCAGCTCTCCCGCATGTAGTTTAGAAATAAAGCCCTTTCAAACCAATTTCGGCTGAGAGAAATATTGTGACAATTAATTTAACTTATTAAATAATTTCAATATAGCTTTCAACAGGTGGCAAACCCTTTTCAATAATATAAGATGTGGTTGAAATCTAATATTTTAACGAATGGTGCAGATCTGATGACATTGACAAAAATGACTTCGCGTATCATATGTACATATATACAGAAGATTGTTCCTGAAAGCCAGGCAGCTCGCGAATTAAAAAAAAAATGTACTGAACTCCGCTGATCTCTAACCGAGCTGCCATATGGACAAATTGTTAAACCGCAAATACTCACGATCTTAGTTTTATAGCCCAATTCTGTATCGTTGACAAAAGTTTTTTTACTGACAAATTTAAACTTTTTCATATATTTTTCCGTAAAAGCAAACTGTGACAAGAATTGATACACTGACACAGAGTACAGAATAGAGCCGTTAGTCTCGCAAGATCGACACGTATCTTATTTGTTTCGCTGTTATTGAAAACCTGTACTCAATAGTAAAAGCATAAAACAAGGCATAGATAGTACAGTAAAACCTTGATATAACGAAGTTGAAGAGGTTGGGCAAATGCTTCATTTCACCTATAGTTTCGTTATATTTATAGAATATGAAAACCTGAGTTCGTGTTTTTATTTATAACGGCACTCCCACAGTCAACATATTCAGAATTCGTTATGTAGAGGCTTTTGAGTCTAACGGAACTTCAATCGTTAACATATTCCGAAAGATCTCAGGCTCCAAACTTCGTCGCTATATCTATGAAACATTTTTGTATGGAAAATATCGCATCAATTAGGTTTTTTTCTGGGGACGCAGCAAACATTTTGTTATATTGAGTTTTTCGTTTTAGCAAGATTCGTTACATCGAGGTTTCACTGTAAATAATTCAAGCTATTCCGACGGTCAAGAAACCGAGAGAAACCTCAGACTCGGTAACTCAACTACGAAATTTTGGACTTCAACAAAGCTTTTGAAACTAAAGGATGCAGTAGATACCTTCTTAACAAATTCGCCATCTATTAACGTCGAAAATAATCCCTCCGAGATTTCAATAGTTAGCAGACTGGGCCCAATTAACTCTACTCGAAATCACACGAAACTTGGCAGCATTCGATAACGGGAACGCTTCGAAAATTTAAATTATATTATGTATCCCGGAAGGGGGGCTGCTATGCTGAATAAACATTCTCTCTTATTATCCCTGACCTTCATTCTCTGCTATTTGGGGCCTATGTATATCCCCGTGAAGTTCATACAACTCATTGTTCCATGAAATTACTATTTGTTTTGTGGTGTGCGACTTGATGCTGTCACACAAGTAGTAGGGACCTACAGTTTCACGCCGCTTCCGAACGGTGATTATATTTTTATGAGAAGCTGCTTTTATGGCGGGAATACACACGGAAATTTTTCATTGCCGAGGGGTGACCGCTATTAGACTTTTTGGTTTATTTTGGATGTTACTCGTACCAGAGTCGAACCCTTGATCTACCGAGGAAAGTGCGTACCTCTAACCAAAATACTAAATTATGTCCTCTAATACTCTACACGTTCTTCCATACCAAGCTTGCAAAAGGTAGAACAAGCAATTCGGTACATGAGGTCGAGGATGTTGCATGCTCTTATAATTAAATTGGGTCTAAGTGATTTAGCTCTGCTGTCCAGCATACGATTAAAGAAGTTGCACGAAAGAGGAGGGATCTGTCTGCAACCTTTCTCGTCTCCGAAAGTTATTCCCTATTCTGATAAAACGGGGATACGAATTCCAGACATCGCGGCGTATCGACAACTGCTTTGTCTGCTATCAAAGGCGGCTTTAAATATGAGAAAAGATATGGTCTATGGTAGATGTACCAGCTGTAAAGCCACACTGATATGGCCCAATTAGTTCACTGATGATATGTTTTAGCCTGCTGGGCGTTGATCACTAGGCCTGCGTGGTTGTCCTTACCGAAACTTTTTAATTTACTTTTCGAGAATTTTTCATCTTGGCAAGCATTTCGCGCTCATGCTTTGCGGCCTCTCTCCTCTAATTGCAGAAAATAGGTCTCGCTTCCCTGTTCAGCACCCTTTACCGAGTCCACATAATTCGTGTTGCGCCCGTTTGCAGCGTTGGTGGTGGCATCTTTTTTCCCTGCAGCGGCGTGATAATCGTCGTCGTCGTAGTGGTTCTTATGTAAATTGATGTTATTATGTAAATCATTAGTCACCGAAGTTTTGATCGTTGTACGAATACCTTTCTTCAAATTTAATTTCCAATTTTTTTTTAAGTATACTTTGCTAACTAAAATTCGAATAATGATCTTCTTGCAGTTTCCTTGTTTCATTCCTCGTCGATGCGCGTGGCGGTGCTATGCGTGGTTGCCGCCACAGTGGTGTACGCATGATTATACCATCGCGTTCCACTTGTCAACCGACTCGTGTCACATGTCGATATGTTAAACCACAACGCACTATGCATCCACCACAGCTAATGGAGGGTGAAGCTTTGGCTAGCCGTGTGTTGGAACTTGGGCCAGTCTCGATCAAATTTATTGGCCCCGTCATCATGGAGGTGCCACATTTCGCTTCATTGCGCGGCAAAGAGCGTGAAATTATCATATTGCGCTCGGATAATGGAGAAACCTGGCGAGAGCATGCAATTGATAATTCGGAAGAAATCATACACGATGTAATGCAACAATGTTTCGAACCCGAAGGTAAGTAGAACGGATAATAGGTACCTACTAAATATCTATAAAAATTGTGACTCAGAAATTTCCAAGTAATAGCTGATTTTTTGTCTACAGAAATTGCACAACTTGAGGAGCAAGCTGGAAATCATGTTTGCCGTTTTGTTACCTATGATTTTCCGCAATACTTTGCTGTAGTCTCGCGTATACGCCAAGAGGTGCACGCCATCGGACCAGAGGGTGGCATGGTATCCAGCACTGTGGTGCCACAAGTGCAGGCCGTTTTCCCGCAAGGTGCACTCACCAAAAAGATCAAAGTTGGCTTGCAGGTAAATCTCTTTAAACCGCGCAAAGGTGTTGCACCAGAAAAGTTACGTAAAATCAGCGTCAATCATGTACCAAAGAAGAAGCGCTTCTCACTTATTTGGTAAATTAAGAAAATGCCTAAATGAGATGCATACAAAATAGAGAACAAGATCAAATAATTAAGTATGTACTAGCACTAAATAGTAAGCGATTGATCTATGCATATTTGAAAGGAAATATCAATAACAATAACTTATTTATCAAAAATATTTACTTAAGTAGATATAACAGAGAGGCGTTTGTATGCCAATAAAAAGCCCAAAAAAAAACAAAAAAAGGAAAATCAACCAATTTGCATTTATAAAAAGAAAAACTAACATAATTGCATTATGAAGCCAAACATGAATTTTTATCGAGCCACTTAAAAGAAGCATAAATGGAACACAGCAGTGTGAAAAAGTAATTCGAAGTACAGGAAATACCAGAATATAAAAACTTTGGTCTACAACTCTTAATTAATATCGAGTAAAATGAAAACATATGGCTACATACTAATTCTTTCTGTATCACAAGCAGCACACTGAGTTTATTATGAAAATGCACTGATTTTTCTTGAGTACTCTTAGCATACAAAAAAAAAAGCACAGCTATGCAGGGAAAATAGTTGAGGAAACCTGGGTTGGTTTTCAAAGGCGACTGTTGATTAGTTAAAACTAAAATTTATAATTTTATGATGTCAGTTTGTTCAAATTTAGTTAGAAGTACTTCTAGTAATTTAAAATAATTAAAACTTTGATTACGGCCAGCGTCAAGGTTTTTGTTTGATAGCACCGAATCAGGCCTTGGTAATGGTGAACTTTAATATGCTGATGCTTAATTAGTTTCCCTATCTAGGATCGGTCTTAACAAAACATCGCCAGAGACTTGCCTAGTTAAGCTTAACTGAAATTACCACTTCTGGGAGTAGGTCTCAATACTATGAAGAATGTGCTCAGGAGGGAAAGGAGGACACTGAGGAATACATAGTTCGGAAGGAATGCTTCGGGCAAAAAGTTTACTGGGATGGTATTACAAGAGTGGATTCCAAAACTTAATTAACCTCCCAAAAGAGAAGCGTGTAATACTCTAACAGGTTTGCTTACTGGACACTGCAGACTAAGAGGACATCTATACAAGCTGGGGAAATGGTCGAATGATCTCCGCCAGTTCTGCGACACGACTAGCGAGACACCAATACACATCCTCACAGAGTGTGATGTAGTCTGTATAAGACATGAAAGAAGTTTAGAAGAAGCATGTAGCTACAGCTTAAGCACATTCACTCGATATCCCCGATAAAGCTGTTGAAATTTTTGATAGATCTAGGTTTAGAAGAAGTATTGTGAAGAGTAGAGGGCAAAATTGATTACTGGGTCGCGGCCCACACCTAAGTTTAATATCAATCTAGCTAACTTGCGAATACCGAATTCGATTGAATTGTGCTGGTACTAACCAGATTTCGCTCGCCAATATAGCTCTTAGCAACTGCTTTACCCTCTCTAATAGAGCCCGAACTCATTAAATTATAGAAATGTAGACCAAAAAAAGTTTTTTTAACGAGGAATACGTAAGGCAATTTTCACCAGGAATCTGAAATCTGAAATAACTTCATAGAAAAACTGAACGAAAATCTCTGAAGCGACTGGCTCAAATTGCTTTATAGCTCCTCTCACTGTGCACCGCCTAATTTGATTTACTTTTCCGTTACCTATCGTTTAGTAAATTTCTTTGTTATGAAAGAAGAAAAATGGCTGAGGCTAAAAAAAACTACAAAAAGCTTTTCCATTTTTAAGTGAAAGAGTACAAACAAATTAAGCAGAAACCCGCAGATGTATAACATACTTAGGGTTATCCATTTTCTCCTTGCGAAAGTAAAAAGTAAAAAAAGATACTGAATTTTGAAATTTCGATGGAATTTGTGTTTCTTATTAAAGTTTTGAATGATCTCCAACCCTGTTTAAGGTAAGGAAGACATTTTCATACGGTTTGTGCCATATCTCGGCCATAAACTGAAGTATCTTGCCCCTCAATAGCGCGTAATAGAGCCATTACGCGGCCAAAGTGACTTATGGTGTTTTCCTTTCTACAAAAAATGTTGCCTTTTCATTGCCCCCTGCTTAGTACTTGTGCGAAGCGGGCACTGATAAGGCAACATTTTTCGGTAGAAAAGGAAACTCCATTAGTCTTGTTGAAACCACCTTTAATCTTGTTCAATTTCGGGCCAAAAAAAGACATTTATCAAGGAATCCGGCTCACAGTCGCTTTTAAATTTTACTGAAATATTTTTCATGTAGTAATTTTGCTTAGGAATAAAGAAATATGAAAAATGTCGGCTAACAGCCACGCCCGCTACACAAGTGGGCCGAAATGTTACATGTTATCCGATTTCAAGCAAGTTTCTTTCTTAGTTTTAACCATAAAAACTGGAATTTGAAAGATGGTAGAAATCGACCTACTGCCACCCTCACCAGCCATGCAAAAACCAAACTTTATAAAAATCGAATACCATATATAATTTCTGCCCCATAATACATATATATAGCGGGCGTGGACTAAGTAATATATACCGAATTTCATTAATACATTTTGCCGCAGCTTATATGGGGTCTGTCAGTGTGAAACGATTAGTCTATGGAAGATTTTGCTAGTCCTTTTGAGTGCCTAGAGTATTTCTGTACAAATCTTTCAACACACGGTGCCACAAGGTACAGCTGCCTATATCAGATTTGACCATTTTTCTTATTAAAAAATCTGCCGAGGGTGAATTGGGCTTCAACACTCAAGAAGATTTCCTTCAAAATGTCGGAAAATGCCATTTTGGTAGCTGAATTTATACTTTTAACGCACCGTTCGGTGGATAGAAATACATACATATCAAATGGCAGGGCTTTACTTTCCTAAGCGTGGGTTGGATAACCCTGCAATCAAAATCGATAATGACGCTAAGAGCCAATGTGGAAGGGGTCCTAAGAGCTCCATTGATTAAAATGAGGCAGCCCGCTGCACACGCTTTAGCTTTCCGACTAACATAGTCGGAGAGTTAAGAGAGTACTACTCTGTGGCACCACATCACTTTGACGCAACAACTCTGTCACTGATCATGCCTTAAAAGCTCAGCTTCGACCCCAAGGTTACTAGAGATCTGACATCCTGGGAACGAAACCTTGCACAACAGAAGACTCGGCAGGAAAACCTCTTTGTTTTCTTGATTTCGGACTTAAAAGTTTCTAGT